GACAACAACGACGACGACGCCGACGACGACGCCGACGACGACGATGACGACGCCCACGCCAACGACGACGCCGACGCCGACGCCCACGCCCACGCCCACGCCCAAGCCGACGCTGACGAAGACGACGACGACGACGACGTCGCCGACGACGACGACGACGTCGCCGACGACGACGACGACCACGCAAACGCCGACGACGACGACGCCAACGCCGACGCCGACGCCCATGCCGACGCCGACGACAACGCAGCCGCCGCCGCCGCCGCCGCCGCCGCCGACGACGACGACGACGACGACGCCGACGCCGACGCCGATGCCGACGCAAAGCCAACGCCAACCTGGACGCGGACGCCGACGCCGATGCCGACGCGGACGCCAACGCCGCCGCCGCCGCCGCCACCGAGAACGACCACGTCGACGACGACGACGACGACGACGACGACGACGCCGCCGCCGCCGCCGCCGCCGCCACCGACACCGCCGACGACTACGGCGACGACGCCGACGCCGACGACGCCGACGCCGACGCTAACGACGACGCAAACGTCGACGCCGACGCTAACGCCGACGCTGACGCCGATGCCGGCGACGACGCCGACGGCGACGCTGAAGACAACAATGCCGACGACGACGACGACGACGACGACGACGACGACGACGACGACGACGACGCCGACGACGACGCCGACGCCGACGCCGACGCCGACGCCAACACCGACGAAACCGACCGACGCCCGACAGGCCGGGACGCCGACGAGCCGCAACGACGCTGCCGCCGCCGCCGCCGACGCCAACGCCAACAGCCGACAACGACGCTGACGACGACGCCGACGCCGACGATGGCGACGACGACGACGACCACGACGACGACGCCGACGGCGTCGTCGACGCCGAAACGACGACGACTCCGACGACGCCCCACGACGACGACGACGCCGACGCCGACGACGACGACGACGACGACGACGACGACGACGACGACGACGACGACTACGACGACGCCGCCCACCCCGACGCCGACGCTGACGACGACGACGACGACGCCAACGACGACGACGACGACGATGACCACGATGACGACGATGACGACGCCGACGACGACGACGACGACGACGACGACGACGACGACGACGACGACGACGACGACGACAAGAATGACGACGACGACGACGCCCACGCCGACGCCGACGGCGAAAAGACGCCGACGCCGACGACGCCGCCGCCGACGCCGACGCCGACGCCGACGCCAACGCAGACGCCGACGCCAACGCCGACGCCGACGCCGACGACGACCACGACGCCCACGCCGACGCCGACGCAGTCGCCGACGCCGACGCCGACGGCGACGGCGACAACGACGCCGACACCGACCCCGGAAACGACACCGAACACTCGGCCGACGACGACGACGAGTGGAAGACCGGACGTCGGCACGAGGGAGACAAAAAGAGAGGAGGGGACGACGACGACGACGACGACGACGACGACGACGCCCGACGCCGACGCTGACGCCGACGACGCCGACACCGACGCAGACGCCGACGCCGACGACGCTGACGCCGACGCCAACGCTCACGCCGACGACGACGCCGACAACGCCGACGCCGACGCCGACGACGACGACGACGACGACGACGACGACGACGCCAACACCGAAGCCAACGCCGACGACGACGCAAACGCCGACGCCGACGCCGACGCGGACGCCGACGTCGACGCCCACGGCTATGACTATGACTATGACTATGATTTCTAACCCTCGTGAGAGGTACTAACATGGGCAAATGGCAATACATGCAAATGAATTCGAACGCTGCGCCGACGACGCCGACGCCGACGACGCCGACGACGACGCCGACGCCGACGCCAACCCCGACGACGACGCCGACGCCAACGCCGACGCCAACGCCGACGCCAACGCCGACGCCAACGCCGACGCCAACGCCGACGCCAACGCCGACGCCGACAACGCCGCCGACACCGACGCCGACGCAGTCGCCGACTCCGACGCCGACGCCGACTCCGACGCCGACGCCGACGCTGACAGCGTCGACGCCGACGCCGACAGCGTCGTCGACGGCGACAACGACGCCGACGACGTCGCCGCCGCCGCCGCCGACGACGACGACGTCGACCGCGACACCAACGCCGACCCAGTTGCCGACGCTGGCACCGACGCCGACGCCGCCGACACCGCCACTGCCGCCGCCGCCGAGCCGACGACGACGACTATGACGAGAGGAGGATGGACCTTGCATAATTCATGAATGGGCCCGCGCCTTCTAAGGAGCAGCCTCCTTGTGAGAAGCCTTCCGCCCTCCCCCTACTCCCCCTCTGCGCGCCGCCTACGCCTGATGATAGATACCTTCCCCGGCCACCTCGACGCCATGGCCAGGACACTTCGGGTGGGGAGGGGGAGGAGCGGTCGCTCCGGCCCAGAACCCCTCCGGGGGGAGTCGAGCCCCTTCTGCGCGTGGCCGAAGGCGGGCGGGGTGGGAGGGCTGGCGCGTCCGCTTGCCTTTCTCGCTGCGCGGCAAACGCCGGCTTGACGCCCTCTTGCGCCGTGGCGGCCGGCCCTCCTCCTGGCGGCCGCCGGCCCCCGTGGCCACGGCGGTAGCTCGGGACCTCCTCGGGGCGCCCTCGGGACCCTCTCGGGAGCCCAGGAGCCTCTCAGGGCCTCTCCGGGCCCTCCCAAGGCCCTCTCGGGACCTTCCGAGGAGCCTCTCAGGAGCAGCCCCTCGGGGGCCTCTCGGGAGCCTGCCAGGAGTACCTCGGCGTCCCGCTTGAAGGGTGCCTTGCTGGGATCACGTTGGCTCAGGCGGGGAAGCAGCGCCACTGGCGACACGAGAGTCCACAGGTCATGTACCCGAAAGGCGCGGCCCAGGACAGGGGCAGGAGCAGAAGGCCTTTTGACCATTTTTGAATTTTTGTTAGGGTATGTTTGGGGAATGTTTCATTTTTCGCCCAAAATCGGCCTGTAGGGGGACAGGCCCGAGTTAAGATGAGGCAGAATGGGCAGCCCAGCCTCCCAGAGAGATCCCACGCTGGGCGAGCCGAGCTCGAGGAAACGGCGCCCAGGCCCGCCCCGAGGGCGTCCTCCAGCGGGTCCCTGCCCTTCTCGTCCTCGACCAGGCAGTTCAGGAGCTCCTCCTGCGGGCCGAAGGGGGGGCCTCCTCCTCCTCCTCCTCCTCCTCCTCCTCCTCCTCCCCTCCTCCTCCTCCCTCATCCTCCTCCTCCTCCTCCTCCTCCTCCTCCTCCTCCTCCTCCTCCTCCGCCTCATCCTCCGCTTCCTCCCCCCACTCCTAGCCCTTTCGATCAGGGTCGGCGGCACCGGCCGTCAGGCCTCTCCAATAGATACAAATAACAGGATTCCCCATAGTTTCCCACATTTTCTGGGCTGTTGTCTTCCCCCCCACTCCCCATAGTTTCCCATAGTTCATGGGGAATCGACGAGTATTTGTGTCTGTGTGTGTTTTGTTCCCCTCCTGCTCTGCGGCGTCGGCGATGGCGGGGGCGGGGACCATCTTGGGGGGCGGGGGCCCGATGCCATCGGCATGGTGGGAGGAGGGGGCCGGACCTGGATCAGATACGTCCCCCATGCTCTGGGTTCTTGTCTTCCCCCTACTCTTCCCAGATGTTCCACATATTCTGCGGGGAATCGACGAGGAATTGTGTCTGGGTGTTTTTTTTTTCCCCTCCTGCTCTGCGGCGTCGGCGAATGGCGGGGGCGGGGGGACCCACCTCGGGGGGCGGGGGCCCGAGGCCATCGGCATGGCGGGAGGAGGGGGGGCCCGGACCTGGATCGGATGCGTCCCCCCTGGGAGGCGCGCGTCGAGGCCCCGACCCGATCCGGCATCGCCCGGATGGGGAGAGAGGCGAGGAGACCGGCCGTCGCCGGGAGGCCCGGCGCCCCTGCGAGGGATGACGAACGAGCAACACACACCCATACCCATAGGGGGGTCGTTGAGAGGAGGACTGGCTATGGGTATTAGGGAGCCCACAAAGCACGTACGCGCCCAGCTATGTACATGAACACGGCCCCTCGATCCGCGAGACCGGCCGCGTTATACGAACATTTGCGCAATGCGTACTCTCGAAACCGGCGCGTATTCATGTACATGTACGTCCTTCTTTCGCTCCTGAGGTATGGGTGCGGGTTGTCGGACCCTGGGGAACGCTCCCCTTCGAGCGGGGACCCCCATCCGACAACACGCCATAGCCCTCTCCGACCCCCCTATGGGTATGGGTGTGTGTTGTTGGCGCCTGTAGCACGCAGGCCTTCCACGAGCGCCGCTGGAAGCGGCAGTGGGAAACACGGAAGCCCGCCCAGCACCACGCGATCCAGGGTCAGGGGGTCGTCCAAAGGCCTTTTGTTGGCGGTTTGGGGCATCTCTGCGGGTCCTGGAGCTCGGGGGGGATCCCGGGATGGGCAAGGGGACCCGTAACGCTTTTTCAGAAGGGTAGGGAGGACAGGGACGCCCTGTATCATGCACCGCGCGGGTGCTGCAGGGTGTGGCCGAAGCGCGTAAAAAGCATGGAAGTGCGCATCTAGAAGGAAGCGCCGTCACAGACAAGGAAAAACTGACCGACGAATTCACAATGCTCAGTAGCAGCCAAGCTGAGGAGGGCGAGGGAGGAAAAGGAACGGCGTCTCCGACCGAGGAGGGGAAAGCCCGGTCAGGGACAGAGACTGATCCAGAAATCCAGGAGCTCCCCGACCTCACGTATGGGCGGCCTCCCGTGGAAACAGCCTGCTCGCACAGAACCTGCTGAGAGCCCTTCCTGGCGGGGGTCCTCGAGGAGGAACGCGGGCGAGGGGGGGGGGGGGGGGGGGGGGGCAAGCGTGGAAGGGGAGGGCATCGCGTGGAACGGGCTCGAGGCAAGCCCTTGGGAGGGGGAGGGGGGGGGCGGCGGGGGGGGGGGGGGAGAGCCCGCCCGAGGAGCAGCGGCGGCCGGAGGGAAAGGGGGAGGAGGAGGGGCCCACCGCCGACGGGAGAGGCCCGCAGCGGCCCTGCCTCTCCCGCCAGTGCGTGGCACGTGTTCTCTCGGGGCGTGGGCGTGCCGGCTGCGCGCCAGGCAAGAGCGACCCTGGGCAAGGGTGGCGAAAGGGGCCCCAGGACACACAAATCAATACACACAAATGAAAAGATTCTTTCTGTCTTCCCCCCCACTTCCCATATTTTCCCATATTTTCTCGGGAATCGAGGATTAATTGTGTCTGTGTGTTTCTTTTCCTCCTGACTCGTCGGGGGCCGCGGGGGGGGGCCAGGCGCAGGCGCGCAGGAGACGCTCCTGCCACCATCGCGCCCGGCGATCGGGGGAACCCGGTGGGCCCCCACCAAAGGCCACTCCAGCGAAGGGTCGCTCTTGCGTGTAATCGAGCCTGCCAGGCTCCGCGCAGACCCAGCTCAGCCGATTTAGAAAACAATAACAAAACAACAACAACAACAACAACAACAACAACAACAACAACAACAACAACAACAACAACAACAACAACAACAACAACAACAACAACAACCACAACAACAACAACAACAACAACAACAACAGCAGCAGCAGCAGCAGCAACAACTACTACTACTACTACTACTACTACTACTACTACTACTATTACTACTACTACTACTACTACTACTACTACTACTACTACTACTACTACTACTACTACGATTACTACAACTACAACTACAACTACAACTACAACTACAACTACAACAACAGCCACAACAACAACAACAACAACAACAACAACAACAACAACAACAACAGCAGCAACAGCAACAGCAACAGCAACAGCAACAGCAACAACAACAACAACAACAACAGTCATTTTAAGACTGTTCGCCCTTATCCGCTCGAGGGTCCAATAACGCGTATTTCCCAAATCCTCGATACCCGCCCTCTTCGTCTTCGATCGAGCCCCTTTTGGGAGGTATACCTCTCTTCCCTGCAGGCCAGACCCGGCGGGCGACGGGGCGGCCGCGGACCGTCGGCCTGGCCAGCGGCAGCGCGGCGGGGCGGCTGCGGACCGTCGACCCGGCCCCAAGAGGGACGGACAGGGGACCGACCACGACGACGACGACGACGACGACGACGACGACGTCGACGGCGACGGCGACGACGACGACCGCGACGACGAGCGAAAGCGAGAAGGACACGAAGTAGGCCACGAAGGGCGACAGCGGGGACACGAAGGGAATGCGCATGGGGCCACGAAGAGCGCGAACGAGCGGGGGCCACGAAGGGCAGATAATGCGGGGCCACAGAAGGCAACGATGGGGTCGCTGAGGGTAGCAACTGGGCCACGTAGGACAGTGAGGGGGCCACAAACGGCGACAGCGGGGCCACGAAAGGCATGCACATGGGGCCACAACAGGCCCGACTCCTGGATGCCTGGGTGTCGGGAGCGCGGCGCTTGAGCAAAGTGTAAGAAACTCCAACGCAAGGGCGCTATTCTTCAGTATATGGCAAGCAAGTCTCCAGCGAGAGCGCGACTCCAGAGCGCCGGGAGAGCGATTCCTGAAAAAGTGTAAGGAGGTGCCAAGCGAGAGCGCAATTCCTGAATAAAATGCGAGGAAGTCTCGGGCGGGAGCGGGGGCCCTGGCTAAATTGTGAGAAGTCTCAGGCGGGAGCCGTTGTTGTTGTAACCCAGGGGCCAGGGGCGCAGTTTGAGAATCAAGACCTTCTTGTCGAAAAAAAACAGGGTGCGAGCGTCGAGGGGCACACCTTGATTGAGAAAAACAGCATGCACTGGTGAGGGGGGATCAACAATAATTATTCTTCGGAGGTGAGAATTCAAGAAAAACAATAAGTTGACCCTCATGCGCGATGTTTCCACACGAAGCACGCGACCATCATGATAACCGTCCACATCATGGGGGGACTCTTGTTCTATAGCGGGGTCCGTTATTCCCATTCCCAGATCTCCCGCCCAATGAGGTCTTGCAAACACCTCCTCCGAGGAATTTCAACATATCCCGCCTTGGAAACACATGCCCGCGCCTTTCTGCGCCGATGCGAGACCGCCAGTGGAACCCCAGCGAAGGGTAAAGCACAAGGAAGTATCGAACGACAAGATTGCCTTGGTGAGGATGGAGGCTGTCGGCGGTGAGGCAAGGACCTGGCCCTGAATGGAAAGGAAGGGGGTCTCGAGCAGGGCTGCTGTTGTTGCTGGGAGCGGCGGCAATGCTGAAGAGAGTAGGGCACTAGTCCAGCGTAAAACACAACGAAATCTCGAGCAGGAACGCTGGTTTTGTTGGGACGGCGGCTTTCGGCGGCGAGGAGGAACACCGCCCTGAGTAAGAAAAGAGGAAGCATCGAGCGGGAGCCGTGGTTTTGTCGGGACGGGGGTTGTCGGCGGCGAGGAACAGCACCGTCCCGAGGAAAAAGAAAGGAAATCTCGAGCGGGAGCGTTGTTCTTGCTGGGAGCGGCGCCAAGTCAAAAGAGAGTTGGGCACCAGTCCAGCGTAAAACGGAAGGAAATCTTGGGCGGGAGCGCTGGTTTTGTCGGGGCGACGGTCTTCGGCGGCGAGGAGGAACACCGCCTTGAGTAAGAAGGGAAAAAGCATAGAGCGGGAGCCGTGGTTTTGTCGGGACGGGGGTTGTCGGCGGCGAGGAACAGCCAGGCCTTCAGGAAAAAGGGAGGAAGCCTCGAGCGGGAGCGTTGTTCTTGCTGGGAGCGACGCTAATTCAAAAGAGAGTTGGGCGCCAGTCCAGCGTAAAACGGAAGGAAATCTTGGGCGGGAGCGCTGGTTTTGTCGGGGCGGTGGTTTTCGGCCACGAGGAGGAACACCGCCTTGAGTAAGAAGGGAGGAAGCATCGAGCGCGAGCCGTGGTTTTGTCGGGACGGGGGCTGTCGGCGGCGAGGAACAGCACCGTCTTCAGGAAAAAGGGAGGAAGCCTCGAGCGGGAGCGTTTTTCTTGCTGGGAGCGGCGCTAATTCAAAAGAGAGTTGAGCGCCAGTCCAGCGTAAAACGGAAGGAAGTCTCGGGCGGGAGCGCTGGAATTGTCGGGGCGGCGGTTTTCGGCGGCGAGGAGGAGCACAGCCTTAAGTAAAAAAGGGAGGAGCCTCGAGCGGGAGCGTTGTTTTTGCTGGGGGCGGCGCCGATGAGAGAAAGACTAGCGCGCCAGTCCAAGGTAAAACGGAAGGAAGTCTCGAGCAGGAGCGCTGGTTTTGTTAGGACGGCGGCTTTCGGCGGCGAGCAAGAACACCAGCCCTGATTAAAAAAGGAGGACGTCTCGAGCGGGAGCGTTGTTGTTTTTGGGGGGCCGGTCTTGACGGTCCCCCAAACCGCTCGAGCGTGAGCCTCATTGTCAATGAAATATTAGCCGGCGCCTCGGCGAGAGCGCCAGGGCTCCTGTAAGGGGCCCAACAGTAAAAATTGTTAACTACATAACATTCAACAACAACAACAACAACAACAACAACAACAACAACAACAACAACAACAGCAACAGTAACAGCAACAGCAACAGCAACAGCAACAGCAACAACAACAACAACAACAACAACAACAAACAACAACAAGACGACGACGACGACAACAGCAACAGCAACAACAACCACGACGACGAAGACGACAACAACAACCAACAACCAACAACCAACAACCAAGAACGAACAACAAATTACAATAACAACAACCAACTATAACAACCAACAACAACCATCAACGACAACAACAATCAACCAACCAACAACCACCAACCAACAACAGCAACAACCAACAACAACAACAACAACAACCAACCAACAACAACAACAAACAACCACCAACAACAACAACAACCAACAACTTCAACCAACAACAACAGCAGCAACTACAACAAATCGCAACAACCATATCAACCAACAACCAACAACAACAACAACAACAACAACAACAACAACAACAACAACAACAACAACAACAACAACAACAACAACAGCAGCAGCAGCAGCAACAACAGCAACAGCACCAACACCAACAACCAACAACCAACAACCAACAACAACAAACAACAACGAAACGCCTTCTTCTTGAGGGGGGACTTCCCAAACCGGGCTCGGCCAATGTGTGTAAGGCCACCTCCAGGGCCGCGAGCAGCTCTCAAACCCGGCTCAGCCAAGATCCAGCCCTGCAGGATCCTGCAGGATCTGGTGCTCTGGCTGAGCCCCGCTAGAGCTGAGCCCCGTTACGTTGAAGGGGCCCTGGGACACACAAATGAATAAACACTAGTAACAAGATTCCCCATATTTTCCTTTATTTTCTTGATTTTCCCCCCCACACTTCCCATATGTTCCCATATCTTCTGGGGAATCGACGATGAATTGTGTCTGTGCGATTTTCCCCCAACTGTTACGTGAGCCCCGAAAATGCTGCTGCGATCAGATTCCGGCCGTCTTCTCCCCTCGCCATCCCTCTCGCTCCAGGGCGGACAAGGGGGTGGGGATGGCAAAAGGGGGCGGGGAGCGAGTCCGCTGCATGTCGCCGGTTTCCCTGGCGCCTCCCGGCGCCAGGGGCGGCCATGCGTTGGGGAACGCCCAGGGGGACCCCTGTGGGCTGGGGGGCCCGCACCGGAGGTCACTCCGCCGGAAGATCACTCCGTCGCGAGGGGGTTGCCATAACTCGGGCCTCTGGTGGCTATTCGGGACGACTCGGGCACGCCTGGAACGCTCTCGACGAGGTGCGGCTGCTGGAAAACGTCCAAGGCCCGTTGTGCGGTGGCGGCGGGAAAGGCCGGGGGGCGGCAGGAACCTCTTGGACGTGCCATGCAAGGTCTGGGGGCTTGGAGGTGGGAGCCAACACCAGGACAGGGGGCTGCCGCCACCAGGAGGGGACGATCCTAGACGTTGGTGTCGGTGGTGATCTTTCGGCCGCCAGGGAAGCTCGCAGATCGGGTCGGGCGAAAGGGGGGGATAGCAAAGGGAGGGTTTGAGAATCAGCTCACGTAGCTGATTTTCCTGGCGCCTCTCGGCGCCGGAGGCGGCCATGTATCGAGGAATGGGCACCTCGGTGAGGCCGAAACCAGCTGCATGCAGCAAATTTCGTAACCCCCCCTTTCCCAATCCCCCCCCTTCGCCCGGCCCGAGAAGACTGTGCCACCACAGCCGAGGTCGGGATCGTCGGTCCTCGGCGGGGGCACGCTGCCCGGTGGCGGTGTTAGTGCCGACCTCTGGGCCTCCGAGAGGTCGCCGGGCCCCGTGCCCTCCCCAGGAGTGCTCGGCGCGCCAGACTCCTCTTGGCGGCGGGCAAGGGGGGGGAAGCGAGAAGGCTCCTCCTCCTCCTCCTCCTGGTCCTCCTCCCCCTCCTCCTCCTCCGCCTCCGCCTCTTCCTCTTCCTCCAACTCCCACTCCTCCTCCTCCTCCTCCTCCTCCTCCTCCTCCTCCTCCTCCTCCTCCTCCTCTCCTCCTCCTCCCATCATCATCATCATCATCAATCATCATCATATCAACAACATCATCATCATCGATCATCATCCATCTGCATCATCACCACCACCACCACCACCGCACCAATCAACATCATCATCATCATCATCATCATCATCATCACATCATCATCATCCCATCCTCATCTCATATCCTCATGCCCTCGCTCCCAACCTCAACCCATCATCCTCATCATCCCATCATCCTCAACATCCCTCATCATCCTCATCATCCTCATCATCCCTCACATCATCAGAATCAATCAGCAACATCATCATCACCATCGATCATCACATCATCATCATCAGTATCATCAGAATCAGCATCATCATCCAAGATCAGCAGCAGCATCATCAACATCAGCATCAGCATCATCATCATCATAGCAGCAGCAGCAATAATCATCACATCAACATCATCGTCGTCCATCATCAATAACAACCACCCACCACCACCATCATCATCATCATCATCATCATCATCATCATCACCAGCATCATCATCATAAGCAGCATCATCATCAGCAGCATCATCATCAGCATCGACATCATTATCGTCATCATTATCAGCAGCAGCATCATCATGAGCAGCAGCACCATCTTCAACATCATCACCACCACCACCATCACCATCATCATCATCATCAGCATGATCATCATCATCGTCATCACCATCGTCATCAGCATCATCAGCATCATCATCATCATCATCATAATCATAGTCGTCATCATCATCATCATCATCATCGTCATCAGCATCATCATCGTCATCACCATCATCAGCAGCATCATCATCATCATCGTCGTCGTCATCGTCGTCATCATCAGCATCATCATCAGCATCATCAGCATCATCCTCCTCCTCATCATCATCATCATCATCATCATCAGCATCAGCATCAGCATCAGCATCAGCATCATCAGCATCATCAGCATCATCCTCCTCCTCCTCATCATCATCATCATCATCATCATCATCATCATCATGCTCCTCCTGCTCCTCCTCCTCCTTCTCCTCCTCCTCATCCTTCCTCCTCCTCATCCCTTCCTTCGGCGGCGAGCGAGGGGGCGAAGCGAGAAGGAGAAGGCCTCCTCAGCAGGCGGCGGGGCTTCTCAGAAGAGCCCTCGCGCCCTCCGAAACGGTCTCTCTGTGTGTGTGTCTTCGGGGGGAGGCTTGGGCAACCTCTCAGAAGGCCGGGGGACTTCCGAAACCTCCTGAGAAGGCCTTCCGCTTCTCGCTCTCCCCCCCCCCTCGCTCGCCGCGCCACCTCCGGAGAGCGCCGGCCCCGGGCGGTGGGGGCGCCTCGGTGCTGCCCCCCTTCCGCAGCAGCTCCAGGAGGTCCTGTGCGCGGGCTTTCCCGCCCACGGGCCGAGGCCGGCTCCCCGGCGCGGGGGGGGGCGCCCCGCGGGGCCGAGCGGGGCCACCCCGCCCGGGCCAGGGAGGGAATCCCTTAAGGAATCCAAAGCTGGAGGAGGAGGAGGAGGAGGAGGAGGAGGAGGAGGAGGAGGAGGGGGAGGAGGAGGAGGAGGAGGGAGGGTATGCCTAGGACTCCCAAGGCACCCTCAAGGAATCCAAAGGAACCCCAAGGAATCCAGGGGGCTCCTGAGGAATCCCTAAGGAACTCTTTCGAAATCCCTGGGACTCCTTGGGCATCCCTGGGGATCCATGGGAACTTTTGGGGGTCCCGGGAGCGGGTCGGGCGAAAGGGGGGGGATGGCAGAGGGGGGGTTCGAGAATCAGCTCACGCAGCTGATTTTCCCGGCGCCTCCCCGCGCCAGAGGCGGCGATGTATCCAGGCATGGGCCCGGCGGCGGGGCCGAAACCAGCTGCATGCGGCTGATTTCGTAACCCCCCCTTTCCCAATCCCCCCCTTTCGTGCGGCCCGACAGGATCTCGGACCCAGAAGCCGGATCGGCGGTCGAGATCGGATCGGGTCGGCGGGAAATCTGCGGCCGGGTCGGGGAGGAGTCGGGTCGGCGGAGATGGGCAGGCTAGCTTAAGAGTTCCCTGGAGAGGCCTGAGTCCGAATCGGAATTCTCGAAGTCGGATCGAATCGGAATCGGAAGCCATCGGAATCGAATCGAAT